GCGGTGATCTACTTGATTTCAGATTTGTGAATCGCTTGAGGTTTGGGGAGGCGAAGACGGTGGTGCGTTCATATGTTACGAGCTATGTAAGTGTCTGGCTGATGGTGCTTCTACTTTTAGTGTTTTGTCGCCATTATATGTTAATTCTCAACTTGCGTACCAAATTGAGGACTTTCAGGACCAGATCTGGAAGACTTAATATGCTCCGAAGAAGTAAAGGCGCTTTTTCCAGCCATCTACTATAGTCAACCTCTTTTGGGCCCTTTCAGACGGTTGAGGCTAAATATGGTTCTAACCAAGACCCTGCCGAGGACATCCTTCTCCGGTATCCCTGGCACCGAGCAAAAGAAATCGCCATACGGGGCTAGAACTGGGCTCGTTACGATTTGGCCCTTTTTTTGAACCCATTGCAATGTCTTTCTTTAGAAGCCAAAATATTACCCTATTTTAGACACTTTTTGGAGGACTTTCTGCATCTCCAACATTGGACGACGGCCTGAAGGGGCAATTGGACCTGTGGGTTTCTCCGTAGTAGGTCTAAACTGTGCATCTGGTAATTTCAACGCAGACAAGTGCCTATCGAGGCACTACATTGGGGGATAGTTTTAGCTTGCATCCAGCTGCGCACCCTCCCTCCTCCAGCAGAGAGGGAAGAGGGAGGAGTATACAAAGGCTCACCTTTGGTATAGTGGTTATATTAGTGCTGGTGCTCACTGAATCTTGATGACTGGACACATATCTCGGTAACTTTGTGGAATATTGGGTTGTTGGGAGGATAGCATGGGTTGATGAGTGCTTACAGGACAATGAATCTCTGCTTGGCGCAGAACACTGGTTACCCTGCCAGCGCTCTTCTCGCGTCAGCCAATTGCTCAAGCATGATGAGAACACCACTTTCAAAGGCGCCATTCTTTGCTCGTATTCAAAACCATAAAGCACACATCTCAGACCAGGTCCGGACTAGTGAGCCCTGAAATACGAGTGTTACCTGTCGGGGGGCTCCTTGGCTCGAATTCCGGACAAAGGCGGTACGTTCTTCAATGGTGGACCTGAGTGTGGGGGGCGGGGGTGTTTGCTTTCTTGTTTTGAACAAGACGATGAAAATAATGCCCAAGAGTGTCCGACTTCATCTATTTTGGCTCTACATACAACACTAAGCTCTCTATTCTTGGGGGGGGGGGGGTTAGGGCCGATGCAACTGCCTGCATTGGGGGGAGGGGGAATATGACCCAAGATCTGGCTCAAGCATTGGTGTGTCCAGGCTAGAATGTTCAAAATGGCGATAGATTTGCAGCGACATTCTTCCAATCCTCTGTTCACAACGCCTGCACCCTCTTAAAGGGAGGGAGGATTAAAGAGCATAGTGATGTCCCGAAACATCTCCAGAACGAGATCATGAGTCCACTAACCAAGAGGAAGCAGAACGATGGCCACCCGATCCACATCACCAATGTTATGCCTGGCGCCGAAGGTGCGCCTCCTCCCAAGAAGCTAAAAATTGCGGAGCACCGGGACATAGCCATTGTAACCATGTACTCTGTTCTGCCTGGAACCAGGGGTCCTGAATCCCAAATCGAGCACTGGGCCGCCCAATTTGGTAGCAATCTGCACTGACGGCTGAGCAAAGCCAGCCTGGCGGTAGGTTCAGGGGAGCGCGCTCGCCATCAGCTGCACTTCGACCACGTCC